CTCTCTCTCTCTCTCTCTCTCTCTCTCTCTCTCTCTCTCTCTCTCTCTCTGTGTGCCCCCCCCCCACATCACTGTGCCCTCCACCAGTGAGCTTCGGAAGTGCCTCCTGGCAGCCCCCCAAACTTAACCTTGCGAGCAGGTTCTCTCTAGCTGTCGGTCCCACAAAGGGTCTGACGGCCGAAGACGCGATTTTTCAACCCCCACATATTTATTTTTTCTTAAAAAAATACGAAAAAAAATTCGGCAGCGCAGGGGGGTTTCCGACTGCCAGAGGCACCCCCCCATGCCACCGAAACGGGGTTGCCCCCCCCTTGCTTGGTACAGCGCTCTTTGGCCAAGTTTGGCGGGTGCCGCTTTACCCCGTTGAACTGGGGGTAGGACAGGGTACGACGGATGTAGGACGCCGCTCTAAGGTTGGAGCGGGGAACCCCGTTCTACCCTCCGCCAGACACTCAGACATGGAGGCAGAGTAAAACCAGATGTAGAGTGATAAACAACTAAAGCTAAGAAAGTGAGGGCAAGGAAGAAGAGGCGGAAAACTGATCAGAAAGAAGGTGAAAATATGAAAAAGGAAAGCAACAGAGCGCCCAATGACATGCCGCTGTGGTCACTCGGCAAACTGCAGGAAGATTAAGAACACACTACTTTCCTCCTCCTGCTCCTCCTCCTCCTCTGAGGAAGAAGAAGATTCTGAAGATTCTGAAGAAGATTCTAAGAACTTCAAGATTCTTAAGAAGATTCTGAAGATTCTGAAGAAGATTGTGAAGAAGAAGAAGAAGAAGGTGGTGGTGGTGGTGGTCCTGGTGAATGATTTGTAAGAAAATGAAACATTGCTAAAACTCATATCATGAAAATGTACATTCGAGTTGCTTGCGACTCAACATGGTGAGTAACCATACGTGACAAATAAACAGACTAAACATAAGCAACAGCTGGAAGTGGATCGCTCTGAAGTTCATGCTCATCATCCCTACGCGCTACAGCTGAATGTAGGCACTCGATCATGAAATAAATTTATGTGGTCAAGGAACAATATCCATCTAGAAGTAACATTAGGACTGCGATTATGTGTGATATGATACCAAACAATTACAAGTTGGGTTCATAATACTCCATAGCTGCGTAGCACGGCGAAGTTGGGCGAATGTGTTCGCCGCCCTTCCCGTTCGCGCGAAGGGGTCGAGATCACGTTCTCGCGAACATGTTTTTGAGCCCGGCGAAAGGGGTTCGCCTGGGCCGGTACTGGTCGCCGGCAGGGCTTTAGAGGGACCTGGGGGAGCACTGGTGGTTGTGTTTCGGGTGGGGCCGGGCGTGAGAATCCGGTCCACTTTGAGGAGGGGGGGGGGGAGGAGGAAGGGTCAGTTTCGAATTCGAAACTGGTCAGTCCTGCCCGCACATGGCCCCGCGCTCCGGCCGCTGCCACGTTCGGCGCCCATAGCTCTAAGGTAAGACACCTCCTCGTCCTCCTCGTCCTCCTCCTCGCCCTCCTCCACCTCCTCCATGTCCTCCTCCTCGTCAAGTCCGGTCATCGTTGCGTGGCTGCCGCGTCAGCACGAGCGACCATTTTTTTTCCTTTTTTTTATTTTCTTCTTCTTCTTCTTCTTCTTCTTCTTCTTCTTCTTCTTCGTATCTTCTTCTTCTTCTTCTTCTTCTTCTTCTTCTTCTTCTTCTTCTTCTTCTTTTTCTTCTTCTTCTCTCTCCTCCTTCTCCATCTCCTCCTCCTTTCATCGTCTTGTTCTCCTCTTCTCCTCCCCATCCCCCTCTTCCTCCATCTCCTCCTTGAAGGCTCCTTCTCCCCAAGTTCTGTTGTGTCGCGTGGCTACCACGTCAGCACACGCGACCTTCTTCTTCTTCTTCTTCTTCTTCTTCTTCTTCTTCTTCTTCTTCTTCTCCTTCTCCTTCTTCTTCTTCTGTCCTCCTCCTCCATCTCCTCCTCCTTTGGTCATCTTTGTCTCCTCCTCCTAGGCTCCTCCTCCTCTGTCTCCTCCCTCTCCCCGAGTTCTGTCATCGTCACGCGGCTGCCAGGTCAGCATGCGCGGCGTTTTTTTTTCCCGTTTTTTTCAATCTTCTTCTTCTTCGTCGTCTTCTTCTTCTTCACATCTTCTTTTTCTTCTTCTTCTTCTCTTCTTCTTTTCTTCTTCTTGTTCTTCTTCTTGTTCACATCTCCTCCTCCTCCCCAAGTTCCGTCGTAGTCGCGCGGCTGCCACGTCAACAAGTGCGACTTTTTTTTTTCTTTGTTTTTTTTTTTCAATCTTCTTCTTCTTCTTCTTCTTCCCTTCATTTTTCTTCTTCTTCTTCTTCTTCTTCTTCTTCTTCTTCTTCTTCTTCTACTCCTTTCGTCATCTTCATCTTCTTCTTCTTCTTCTTCTTCTTCTTCTTCTTCTCCTCTTCGTATCTTCTTCTCTTCTACTCGTTTCGTCGTCTTCATCTTCTCCTTTTCCTCCTCCTTTCATCGTCTTCTTTCTCTCTCTCTCCTCCTCCTCCTCCTCCTCCTCCTCCTCCTCCTCCTCCTCTCTCTCTCTCTCTCTCCTCCTCCTGTCTCTTATACACATCTAGATGTGTATAAGAGACAGGTTGTATACTCTCTGTGAATTCTGGCCCCTCCAACCTCATTCCTTCCATTTCAAACGTGCAGCGACGTCTCCACAGTGCCCGCATTATTGCCCTTCTTCCTTGTTGAAAGATATTGAGTGTGAAATCATCCTGCTGCTCAAGAGGCCATCTTTCGAACAGCAGGGCTTTCCAGTCCCATGGCCAAGGTACCCCTGTTCCTAACTGGTCCCATACTCTGTCCCACCAGCGCCAAAGCCAGACCGCTCCTGGGCATTGTAGGAATATGTGTTCCATTGTCTCCGGTATCTTTCTAAATGGAAATGCGTTGGAGAATATTCTGCACCAGGGGAGTGCCAGTCCCCTCTGTTCCAAGGTGGTTCTGTCTATCAACCAGTTGTTGGTTGGTAGGCAACGGTGTTCCATCTGCCATTGCAAGGATGCCAAGTTCGCCGGTTTCTTCTTGGTTAGCTGGAACCATTTCACGCCCCTCAACGATTCTTTAGCAATATTCAGTTGTTTCATCCATCTCTCTTCCACCTGGTCCCTTAGGTTAATTTTTGGACGGAGTAATCTGTATGTGGCTTTGACTGTCAAGTTATGCAGCGTTCTAGTGCAGGGTTTGCCTCTGGCAGTTGTGCTGGTCCATTCCCATTCCCCAGGGTCCAGGGGCAGATGGGATATCGGTATGTCCGGTGAGAATGCCACCCATCTGTCC